AAGGGTGGAAACTGGACCCCTTTTACTCCCTTGTCTCGGGAAGATGGGTCCTTGCAGGCAATATCTGCATCGCGCAAAACACTTCTTACCAATTCATATCATTGCAAAGTGGCAAGTGCACACATGAACCTTCAGTTTGTGCCAAACAAACACGTTACCAAACCTTGTATCAAGTGAACACCATGCCCATACTAGTAGAATTCACAGAGAGACACATGAACACAATTGGACACTCGCACCCAGCCTCTTGTATTGATTTGACATTCGAAACAGGAGATGGTGAGGTGCAATGGGGATCAATATCGAGTTCAAGATTATTGCACTTTGTATAGCAACGTGAATGGATGTGTGTAGCTGCCTGTACAAGTCTGGACTAATGCCGAGTGTATATTGTTAGCCCATTGAGATATCATGCAGCAGTTTAACATGAATACCCCATTCAGACACAGTATCCTTACTCCGAGCCGACTAGTCCTTGTTTTAGCCCCATAATGCCAGGCGCCAGGCAAGGTAACAACAAGCACACTGGAACACGGAGGCGGTCTCCTAGCGGACGCTCTACCACTGGACCACAGAGGAGGTCTCCGGGCAGAGACTCTACCATTGGACCACAGAGGCGGTCTCAGGGCATGCGCTACCAATGGACCACGGAGGCGGTCTCCAGGCAGACACTCTACCACTTGACCACGGAGGCGGTCTCCGGGCAGACACTCTACGACCGGACCACGGAGGCGGTCTCCAGGCGGACACTCTACCACTGGACCACGAAGGTGGTCTCCGGGCAGACACTCTACCACTGGACCGCGGAGGCGTTTTCCAGGCGGATGCTCTACCACTGGACCACAGAGGTGGTCCCCGTTCGGATACTCTACCACGGAGGCGGTCACCGAGCGGACGCTCTACCACTGGACCATGGAGGCGGTCTCCGGGCAGACACTCTATGACTGGACCACAGAGGAGGTCTCCGGGCGGACACTCTACCACTGGACCACGGAGGCGGTCTCCGGGCAGACACTCTACCACTGGACCACGGAGGCGGTCTCCGGGCGGACGCTCTACCACTGGACAACGGAGGCAGTCTCAGGGGGGACTCTCTACCACTGGACCACGGAGGCGGTCTCCGTGCAGACACTCTACAACGGAGGCGGTCTCCGGGTGGACCCTCTACCACTGGACCACGGAGGCGGTCTCCGGGCAGACGCTCTACCACTGGACAACGGAGGCAGTCTCAGGGGGGACTCTCTACCACTGGACCACGGAGGCGGTCTCCGTGCGGACACTCTTCAACGGAGGCGGTCTCCGGGTGGACCCTCTACCACTGGACCATGGAGGCGGTCTCCGGATGGACATTCTACCACTGGACCACGGAGGCGGTCTCCGTGCGGACACTCTACAACGGAGGCGGTCTCCGGGTGGACCCTCTACCACTGGACCATGGAGGCGGTCTCGGAGGGACACTCTACAACTGGACCAAGGCGGTGGTCCTTGAAACAGAAACAAAGTCACAGTGAAATCCTTCTAAGCCAGTTAGTATTTTGAGGGGGACAGACACCAAAGACGAAGACATATAAGACCCTGGATGACCAACGACAACAGGAGAGAGAGAGAGAGCAACTAGCTGGACATAAGATCCCAATTGTGTCATACTTAGTGGAACTATTAATTTTGCATACTGCGAATGTATGATTGTTGTTGTACTTTATTAATATATTTATTGTACTGTAAACATATACTTTATTGATTGTATAAATTTGTACAGTGATCAATAAAATGTGCCATGTATGAAATAAAAAAATATTGACCTGAATTCTTTACTGAAGCCATTTGGAACTCTTATCTATGAAAAAACACATCCAGACAAATAACTGTGTTGTATGCTAAACCAGAGATCATATTCTGAGCTGGTTCAAATTGCGTGTACATACATGTACACTGACACAACAAAGGACATAAAATATCAACAATCTCCAGTTGATAGCTCTGCTGTAATATATCTACATGGAAATAGTCATCAGTTGAGTAATGTATGCATGTACCAATAACATCAGTGGAATAATGTATGCTTGTACCAATAACATCAGTGGAATAATGTATGCATGTACCAATAACATCAGTGGAATAATGTATGCATGTACCAATAACATCAGTGGAATAATGTATGCATGTATGAATAACATCAGTGGAATAATGTATGCATGTACGAATAACATCAGTGGAATAATGTATGCATGTACCAATAACATCAGTGGAATAATGTATGCAAGTATGAATAACATCAGTGGAATAATGTATGCATGTACCAATAACATCAGTGGAATAATATATGCATGTACCAATAACATCAGTGGAATAATGTATGCAAGTATGAATAACATCAGTGCAATAATGTATGCAAGTATGAATAACATCAGTGGAATAATGTATGCATGTACCAATAACATCAGTGGAATAATATATGCATGTACCAATAACATCAGTGGAATAATGTATGCATGTACCAATAACATCAGTGCAATAATGTATGCAAGTATGAATAACATCAGTGGAATAATGTATGCATGTACGAATAACATCAGTGCAATAATGTATGCAAGTATGAATAACATCAGTGGAATAATGTATGCATGTACCAATAACATCAGTGGAATAATATATGCATGTACCAATAACATCAGTGGAATAATGTATGCAAGTATGAATAACATCAGTGGAATAATGTATGCAAGTATGAATAACATCAGTGGAATAATATATGCATGTACCAATAACATCAGTGGAATAATGTATGCAAGTATGAATAACATCAGTGGAATAATGTATGCAAGTATGAATAACATCAGTGGAATAATGTATGCATGTACCAATAACATCAGTGGAATAATATATGCATGTACCAATAACATCAGTGGAATAATGTATGCAAGTATGAATAACATCAGTGGAATAATGTATGCAAGTATGAATAACATCAGTGGAATAATGTATGCATGTACCAATAACATCAGTGGAATAATGTATGCAAGTATGAATAACATCAGTGGAATAATGTATGCATGTACCAATAACATCAGTGGAATAATATATGCATGTACCAATAACATCAGTGGAATAATGTATGCATGTACCAATAACATCAGTGGAATAATGTATGCATGTACCAATAACATCAGTGGAATAATGTATGCATGTATGAATAACAGCAGTGGAATAATGTATGCATGTACCAATAACATCAGTGGAATAATGTATGCATGTACCAATAACATCAGTTGAATAATGTATGCAAGTATGAATAACATCAGTGGAATAATGTATGCATGTACCAATAACATCAGTGGAATAATGTATGCATGTACCAATAACATCAGTGGAATAATGTATGCATGTACCAATAACATCAGTGGAATAATGTATGCATGTACCAATAACATCAGTGGAATAATGTATGCAAGTATGAATAACATCAGTGGAATAATGTATGCATGTACCAATAACATCAGTGGAATAATGTATGCATGTACCAATAACATCAGTGGAATAATGTATGCATGTACCAATAACATCAGTGGAATAATGTATGCATGTACCAATAACATCAGTGGAATAATGTATGCATGTACCAATAACATCAGTGGAATAATGTATGCATGTACCAATAACATCAGTGGAATAATGTATGCATGTACCAATAACATCAGTGGAATAATGTATGCATGTACCAATAACATCAGTGGAATAATATATGCATGTACCAATAACATCAGTGGAATAATGTATGCATGTACCAATAACATCAGTGGAATAATGTATGCATGTACCAATAACATCAGTGGAATAATATATGCATGTACCAATAACATCAGTGGAATAATGTATGCATGTACCAATAACATCAGTGGAATAATGTATGCATGTACCAATAACATCAGTGGAATAATGTATGCATGTACCAATAACATCAGTGGAATAATATATGCATGTACCAATAACATCAGTGGAATAATGTATGCATGTACCAATAACATCAGTGGAATAATGTATGCATGTACCAATAACATCAGTGGAATAATATATGCATGTACCAATAACATCAGTGGAATAATGTATGCATGTAACAATAACATCAGTGGAATAATGTATGCATGCATGAATAACATCAGTTGAATAATGTATGCACATGATGCAAGTACGAATAACATGAGTGGAATAATTGAGTTTGGTTTTACGCCGCTTTTAGTAATATCACGGCTGGGGACACCAGAAATGGGCTTTACACATTGTACCCATGTCGGGAATCAACCCTGGTCTTCAGCGTGACGAGCGAAAGCTATAACCGGTCACTAGGCTACCCGACCGCCCCTTCAGTGGAATAATGTATGCATGTATGATTAAAATCAGTGGAATAATGTCATCTTCCCCTGGCAAGGGTGTTAAATGACTATAAAAATCCGGTTTGCACCCTTCTCACTGGATTAAAAAACAGAATTGACATGAGTTGGTCGCTACTGGTTAACTGACTTATTGCTTGACCCACTGAGTTTTGCTGCATGCATAAACCTGACTAATTAACCAAAAAAGGTGACGTTAACTTTTCCATAAATGTATATAAGTCTGCAACAACTTTATTTTCTCATTCAGTTCGATAACCACACTGTCCATGTTCATGAAGTTGATCTCTCAACAACTTGTCAAGTTTTTGTTGGCCCAAGTTTCACATGGTCATAGATTCATACACGACCATAAACTGTAAAATCTCTCCAAATATCAATCCACAATGATTTTATACCTGTGACATATATTAGCATGATGTATCCGAGTAACTTATCTTTATCTTGGACGTATTGATTGTTTTGATCTCGCTATCTTTTAATTTGATCAAATGCACCTGTCAGTGTCCTGAACACACAACAACATACTCATAGGCCATTGTGAAAAGAAACGTGTGACCGTCGTCTTCAAGTTATTACCATATGACATCCAAAGTAGCTCATCCCACTTACCGGTTCTTTCTAATCTGTGTGTCACATTTCGTCATCAAAACAGAAAAACAATCAAAAACTTGTCCAACACTCACCAGGAACACGGAAGTATAATTTACAAACTGTTCTTCTGATTTTATTTAATGTCAAAAGTGTAACTTCCGAAACGAAATACACGAACCAAGTCCAGTTAGCCCTTAAATCCTTAAAACATAATATTACCAATATATTGGTGGATCTTTAGTATTATGCTTTACCTCATACAAATATCATATGTTTATTTTCACAATTTGTTTGATAATATCAAAACCGTTTCATTCCTGTTTCAACTTTTAACTATTCGGTATTTGGAAACAACGTCGACACTGTCTGAGGTCTGTTGTGTACACAGCAACTAGTGGACATCATCTCATAATTCCTGCTTTTGTGTCTTAATTTATGCTAAGGTGTGTATTAGTTTGACGGTCGAATATCCGACAAATGTTGACCAATACGTGGTTTCTTTGCGTTGACTATTGTCTGTGCATCATTCATTGTCTTGCATAAATATGCTGTGCATCTTTCGTCTCTCAGACCCAAAGGAAATTTATTCAATGGGTGTAAAGCAACCAGGCGAATAGTATTTTGGGGAAAAACTCGGCATCCAAAACTTCAGTCATATTGTGCAATGATCATGCATAGATTAACTTGAACATGGGTTGTCAAACGAAGGGAGGTAATCTCTTTTTGTGTATTACCTCCCCTCAACTGAGGTTTCTGATTTGGGCAACAATGCAGTTTACCGGGCACAGCTCATCATAGCGCTAATTCAGTAATTGGCTCCGGCTGCCGACTATGATTCTCGCTTCACCAGATCGGACATGCATCTTCGGCCCTGAGGGTTAGTTGTGTTAGGGACAAGGTTCAGGGTAGGTTCCCCAAGAGCCACTTTGAGGTCCTACAATCAAGACACGACCCTTGATGTTGGGTCATGTCTTGACTGAAGGGCCCTCTCTCAGCTCTTGACTAGGTTACCCCAACTCTATCCTTATCCCTTGTATTGTTTTTCCCCAGCATGCACCCCATATTACGATCATTAGGGTTAGGTTCCCTTTTTCGATCAAATATATCTTTTCGATCCTTTTGGGTTGGGCACCACTTCCCGATCAAACAACCCTTTACAATCCCTAGGCACCTACTGAGCATGGACAGAAAGGTAAACAATTGGGTGCTGATGACTTGGTAAACAAGCACTAATTATCTGTGATAGCGCCTATGGTCCCGTGGTAGGGTGTTGGCTAGTTAGATTAATTCATCATTAGCCTAGCTTAGCTTCAAGCTGGCAACATGAATTGCAATCTGAAAAAGTGTGCCTGGTAAAGTGCACTACTCCTACTTTTAAAAGAGTATTGATTGCTATGGATTGTTATTGTTGCATATTTTCAGATGTTACCGTGGATACTGTTTGTCAACAAGTCAAATGCTGACAATGAACTGAAGCAGACATTTTGCATGGACATGCTGAATGGAGTGAATGTTATCAGTGACAATTTATTAGACTAAAAAAATGGCGACCATTCAGAGAATCTGATAATTTCATTTGCTATGATACTTTGATATCTCACTTTCATGAATATGCCTTTGCTATAATTAGGTCCAAACACATCACCAGATTTCAAGGCGTACATGAATTTCAGTGCCGCAGTTAAATTACTGGGGGCTTGTCATATCGACTACTACCCTCTTGTATCATTACAATTTGCCATAGGCTTGGAACATAATAACAATGTAACACCTTGTAGATCAACAATATACCACAAAGTTTTGTTTTCAGAAAATTTAGTTTACAATATGAAATCAGAGGATCCAGATGAACCAATCAAATCCTTACCTCACAAGTGAATCAGGTCACCGGCTGCCGTATTCAAACTTTGATGTACGATGCACTTTTGAAATTAGAGAAGTTTTAATGCAAGAAATAACATCAGAGATGGATGTAGAACCCTTTCCATTTCTCACTTTTAAAGTCATTTTTGCAGTTAACAGAGCAAATGTATCTGAAAGTTTTCCAGCGTTTGAAATATTGTCGCCATTTTGAAATTACATCTTGGGTTACCCCCCTTGCCTTGTGATCACAAGGTGTATGGTTATTTGAGTGTGAAAATAACATAATATTTTGAAGGCGTCACTGAAATTTCAAGGCAAAAGTGCCAATAAATAAGAATATGATAATGAATAAGGAAGAGTTACCGTTCTATTGTCAGAAAAACCCTTGAACACCCAGTAATCTGAGTGTAGCATTGAAATTTGCAGACGCCTTGAAATCTGGTGTTGCATCCTGACCTGATAATTGAGAATGAGATCATTCCATGACATCACGTCACATAATTAATAATTAATTGGTAGGTCCCCAGCACCTCATATAATTCATGGAAGAGTTGACTGGTATTAATAGCAACAGTGAATGGCGAGAGTGGCTGCTTATCACCTTCGTGTGCATGGAAAACCAAATGTATGACGGTCTCTTGTAGGCAAGACGGGTGCGCTCCATGGTACTGAGTTACCTCCTGTCTGACCTGTCTGCTACACACAGATTTGAAGAAAGTAAACATGTTACTACGCAATAGCAAATGTGTCATTCGTGTGCCTGAAAAATGACATAAATGTCTTCTTTCTACGATAAATAAGTTTTCGAAAATACTAAAATTATGTTTCTGAAAAATATGCACATGGGAGAAATTTGCTTTCAAAAACCAGCTAATTTTGCTCAAATTTTGCACATTTTTCTATAAAATTGACCACTTAATGTTTTCTTATTATATTTCCTTTAATGTCATTTGATAAATAGTATACCCTGGGTAGCTATCAATAACACTTGTAGACACGTTTTTGTGCTACATGGATAAATCAGTTAACCGTGGACAGACAGGCATGCATACACGTAGCGGGGACCCGTCTCGCTTACACATATGTCCTCTACTGATCACAGTAACATGCCACCACCTGAGTGTTAAATTTACTTTGCTAAATAGTAACAGCTGATTAACAGGGCGGGGGCATCTACAGTAACATCAAGTTGCACCCACTGACCCAGGCACCCAGGAACCCACTGACCCAGGCACCCAGGAACCCTGGCACCCACTGACCCAGGCACCCATTCATCCAGGCACCCACTGACCCAGACACCCACTGACCCAGACACCCACTGACCCAGGCACCCACTGACCCAGGCACCCACTGACCCTTGCACCCACTGACCCAGGCACCCACTGACCCAGGCACCCACTGACCCAGGCACCCACTGACCCTGGCACCCACTGACCCTGGCACCCACTGACCCAGGCACCCACTGACCCAGGCACCCACTGACCCTGGCACCCACTGGCCAAGGCATGTCTCCATTACCTTTTTTCCCTACAGCTGTGGATATTGTTATCAGCAACATCTTTCTGTGTTTATGTATTCCAAACATAGAGATTTGATTGAAGAAACATTTTAAAACAACATTCCAAATATATGAGCTGTGCAGTTTGTTAGTAAAATGGTCCTGAATAGCTCGAATTGAATTCTGACACTGGCTTAAGGGAACTGACCACTTGAAACAAGAGCTCATCATGTTTGCTTTGTATCAATCTTTAAAGAAGTACATGATCCTTGTCATGTATGTTATCTCCCAGACTGCAGCAGTGACCTGTCATGGCTGAGAACCAGGGTGTGAGCGCGTTCCCTCTGCCTCCTATGCAGTATGCTGTGATCTACACTGACGAGAACACGAAGAAGGGGAGGACGCCACACCCGCCGCCACCCATACAGGTAACTAAGGGTGGCACGAGCAACTTCCCCGTGTGATTTGATCCAGGCAGAGGTGATGTACTGTCCCTTGTCTGTGTATGTTACAAGACCCTTATTCAAAGTCTAAGTAATCCGTGAGTGAAGTGTAACTTTCATGACTCTCCCGACATTTCTCCCACACATTGAATTCAGTGTAAGGCACCCTGTACTGTATTGTGTTGGTGTTTTGGTCAAAGACACTGTGTACATGCCGAAGAGGTACCTTGGGCCAGATCCACAAAGTGTACGTAGCACAACGACATTTCATAAGCCAGGCTTAGCCTATGATAAACTATATATAGAGAATCTCACCCGAGTGTATTTTGATATCAGATATATCAACATGAGTTGATAAAAGTTGAAAAATTCCGAGGCTTGCAGAGGATTTTGCCACTTTTATCAACGAATGTTGATATATTTGATATCAAAAGACACAAGGGTGAGATTTTATTTATCATCCAACATCATTCTTCCAGCTTTTTCAATTTGTAGACAGAAATAAGCAGTGTCTTTAGTGTAAAAAGTACTGCTAACAGTATAAGTAGCAGAGCCATTAGTGATGTCATTTGATTGTGACGTCATGGTAACCAGTGACGTCACAATGGTCTTCAAAGCATTGTGATGTCATTTCATTGCAAGCGATATCTCCTGTGGGAGCCAGTTTTGGATGATAAAGATATGATAGCTTGTAACGCTACCAAAGCTTTGTAGATCATGACATTGAAGGGGTTCATTGGAACCTATAGCACTCGACTTGTACTAGTTGCTTATCTCTCTCTATTTCTGAAAGGTAGTGGAAACTTCCTGAACTTGTTCCCAGAGAACAGAAATACAGCTCACCAGAACGTACCCCTGGCCTGTGCGTGTGCACCAGTAACATGTGACCAACTGGTGTACTTGTCCTTCTCTTCTAACATCTATTCATCATATCTAACGATTATTTTTATATTTGGCTTAATTCTTTTCATATTTTGGACTTAAAATGTTTAATAATGTGTGTAATCATGTAATATATGTGCTGTGCGTGTTTCTTTAATAGCACATAAGTTTTGTAGAAGGATAGACTGATAAAGTGCTCCTGAATTATTTCATAAATCATAAGGATTGGGCTGTTAATTATGATAATAGAAGATAGGGCTGGGACGAGTCCAAGTTTACTAAACAGGTACCCGACCCCCTATTACCCGACCCTACCCGGGTACCCGCTGTAGGTCTCAAGAGATAGGTACAAACTGTCCACTTGGGAAAAGTTTGCCCTCGCAAAATGTATTTAGAAGGACGTATAAAATGATCAGGTCATGCCTACACTGAAGTTTACTGCATGAAGTTTTATCTTTATTCAAACATATACAAGTCAGAAGGAATGGGTGCATAGTCAGAAAGAAATGGGAACATAAGTGACATGTAGTGTAACCATGGTGTTCTAGATAATTTTTGTCATTAAACAATATATCACGTGACTAACCACGGGTCCGGGTAGTCCTGTGGGTACCTGGGTCCTACTCGGTACCCACCCGACCGAGTACCCGAGTTGCCCGTCACAGCCCTATTAGAAGACTATAATTTCAACAAATCAACTATTCATGTATGCATTAAGTGCATTTGCTCAAGGCTGTAAATGAAAACAAAATTTTTTTAATTTTTTTTAGACAATGCAATGATTATGACACATTAAAAGTCAGTCATGTTAAATATGCACATCATAAGTAATTTTGGAAACCATTTTCAAAAAGGTGACAATATATTATCATCAAATCATACAGTGACTGTGTTTTGTCTGTGAGTGGAAGTGTAGAGACTATAGTCCCTGGGATGGCAAGGTTAATCTGACCCGGGTAAAACCATGTAAATGGTTCATTAGCATCAAGTCTCGTCAATCTCATTCATTCACCATGTTCTTTGTGGATCTTTTCTCAGGATAACTACACCATGTTTGGAGCTCCTTTCACCGCTGACGATGCCATCATTCGACCACTGGAGGCATCCGGCTGCAAGCGGCTCTATCCTCAAAACTACGACCACAAACGTGAACTAAAGAAACTGAACCACTCCATTCTTGTGAACTTCTTGGACATGTTAGAAATCTTGATCCGTGCCCCGGAGTCCCTGAAGCGGACGGAGAAGCTGGAGGACCTGAACCTGCTGTTCATCAACCTGCACCACCTGGTGAACGAGTTCCGCCCCCACCAGGCCCGCGAGACACTCAGGGTCATGCTGGAAGTCCAGAAGAACCAGCGGCTGGAGATCGCTGACCGCTTCCAGCAGCACCTGGACAAGGTGAAGGAGCTGATAGAGAACGCGCTGGCCAAGCTCCCCGAGGACGTCAACCTCGACTCCAAGTTGCTGGTTGAGAGTGAGCTGATGTTGCAGAATGCAGGCACGCTCAATGATGTTTCTGATGATGGCGAGCAGTGTGACAGACTGGACAGCATGATGTGTGACATTGTTGATGGAATGAGCTGAGGGAGATGTCACTGTCGATGTTTGTATGTCATTGTCGATGTTTGTATGTCATGTATGTTGCAATGTAATCATGGGAAGAGTATTAAACACATTATCATATACAACTACATGTGTCTGTGATAGAAATGCCTTTATTATCCCCCGCCACGAAGTGGAAGGGGGATATAGGAATGGGTGCCGGCTGTCCGTCACATTTCGTTTCCGGTGCAGATCTTGAAAACCGTACCATATTTCTTCACCAAACTTGACACATGGATAGGTCTAGTGGTGAACTGGTGCCTTTTGATAGTTTGGGATTTTAAAAAAAATTTATATTTCGAGTTTCTATGGCAACGACTTTGACTTTGACTGAAAATGGCGGTAGTCCTTGTTTCCGGAGCAGATCTTGAAAACCGTACCATATTTCTTCACCAAACTTGGCACAAAATGTCATCTCGCAGTATTGAATACATTTCCTTTTCTTGTTGGTAAGCTCTGCATTGCTTGTGTGTATGTTCCTTCAAAAGTGTCATGGACACGGTTGTTGCATTCACTGACTAACTTCATGCAGAAACACAACTCATTACAAATACAACAGTGTAACTGATCTTAAACCTACTCAACTATATAAACACTGCCTCCTATCCTGTATATATTCTTGTCAACCACACTCTGTACTTCACTTGCTTGATAACGATGTTAGAACCTACACTGAAACCATCGATTCTAACTGTAATAAAGAAGTTGTTCGTCCATATGTCTCATCCTTACTCATTACAAATACAGTTACATATTCTATCATAAACTGCAGATGGCAAAACAACACCAGTAATAACTTTTTTTAGTGCTGCAATTAGGCCATTTACAAAAAGGCCCAGTGAACATAGTTCACAGGAGCTAAGGATTTGCACACAACTGGACGTGTCATATTGGCGGGGGATATGAGTATTTCATGCTTGTTCTGTATTAACTTCCCAGTAGTCATCTAGATGCCAAACCTGAGATGAACATGTAGTCACAAAGAAGTAAGCAATGTAAATTTGAGGAACACGCCTAATGTGTAAAAATATAATTCAGTAGGGATATGGATCCTGTTTTGATATTTAAATTTGACTTGAACCCTAATTCATTAATCATGTTAATATGAGTTTTTGAATTTGCAGGTTTCAGATAATTTGAAAACTCTTAATTGAATATGCAGCAGATTTCTCAATTCTCCCACGGCACCATCAGTGTGCACTCAACAATCATTCTCAGCTCCCTGGGGAGTATACAATCTAGCAAGCACAATACTGAATGAATGTAGTTTGATGCCACAGTCAGAAATATTCCAGTTTCCTGTGTGTCATTGCAGCCTGTAAATACACATGTAAGTTCAAATCTGGACAAGAAAGTTGAAATTATTGCTAATAATGTCCTACAATAATTCAAGGGCCATCCAATTCCATTCAACCAAACACCATCCATGTGCTACAATATATACGGCCATCCAATTCCATTCAACCAAACACCATCCCTGTCCTACAATATATACGGCCATCCAATTCCATTCAACTAAACACCATCTATGTCCTACAATATATACGGCCATCCAATTCCATTCAACCAAACACCATCCATGTCCTACAATATATACGGCCATCCAATTCCATTCAACCAAACACCATCCATGTCCTACAATATATACGGCCATCCAATTCCATTCAACCAAACACCATCCCTGTCCTACAATAATTTAAGGGCCATCCCATTCCATTCAACCAAACACCATCTATGTCCTACAATAATTTAAGGGCAATCCCATTCTATTCAACCAAACACCATCCATGTTGGTAGTGGCAACACGTCAGCAATTATACGACGTGTAAATGCAGTTCCTCTACACATGAGTATCAGAAGAAAGGTAGCACTATCACTGTCAGTAAGACGGACTATCTTGATCTCGACGAGAGACGCCGCCAACATATCAATGAACACGTCGGAACATTGTCCAATCGTGAATAGAAGTTGAAACATGAAAGAAGATAAATTATTTAACAACTGGGTAAGAGATACGAGATTACGTCATTGAACCCGTTGAGACCAACTATATCCTTTTGTAGAATAGCATATTTTAAGTACAAAAGCTAATATTTTAAGTAAAAGGACTTCCATACAAGAATCATTTAGACACCAAACAAGCCATATCTGGGGAATCAAAAAGTAAAATACAAATTTAGAACAAATTTTGAGACAGTTAATCTTGATTGTATTTGGACAAATGAGTTGCCAAAAGAGGAGTGGTCAGATTTGTTTGTTTGTTTGTTGTTTATACCGGGGATATTACAACATCCCTGTTTATGAGATTTAACCCGACTGGAGAACAATAGCATGACATCACTGGAGGTTTATAAATATGACATTCACAGTGCCTTCTAGCCTGTATGTTTCTGCCCTACAACATCCCTGTTTATGAGATTTAACCCGACTGGAGAACAATAGCATGACGCCACTGGAGGTTTATAAATATGACATTCACAGTGCCTTCTAGCCTGTATGTTTCTGCCCTACAACATCCCTGTTTATGAGATTTAACCCGACTGGAGAACAATAGCATGACATCACTGGAGGTTTATAAATATGACATTCACAGTGCCTTCTAGCCTGTATGTTTCTGCCCTACAATATCCCTGGTTATGAGATTTAACCCGACTGGAGAACAATAGCATGACGCCACTGGAGGTTTATAAATATGACATTCACAGTGCCTTCTAGCCTGTATGTTTCTGCCCTACAATATCCCTGGTTATGAGATTTAACCCGACTGGAGAACAATAGCATGACATCACTGGAGGTTTATAAATATGACATTCACAGTGCCTTCTAGCCTGTATGTTTCTGCCCTACAATATCCCTGGTTATGAGATTTAACCCGACTGGAGAACAATAGCATGACGCCACTGGAGGTTTATAAATATGACATTCACAGTGCCTTCTAGCCTGTATGTTTCTGCCCTACAATATCCCTGGTTATGAGATTTAACCCGACTGGAGAACAATAGCATGACGCCACTGGAGGTTTATAAATATGACATTCACAGTGCCTTCTAGCCTGTATGTTTCTGCCCTACAATATCCCTGGTTATGAGATTTAACCCGACTGGAGAACAATAGCATGACGCCACTGGAGGTTTATAAATATGACATTCACAGTGCCTTCTAGCCTGTATGTTTCTGCCCTACAATATCCCTGGTTATGAGATTTAACCCGACTGGAGAACAATAGCATGACGCCACTGGAGGTTTATAAATATGACATTCACAGTGCCTTCTAGCCTGTATGTTTCTGCCCTACAACATCCCTGGTTATGAGATTTAACCCGACTGGAGAACAATAGCATGACATCACTGGAGGTTTATAAATATGACATTCACAGTGCCTTCTCGCCTGTATGTTTCTGCCCTACAACATCCCCGTTTATGAGATTTAACATGACTGGAGAACAATAGCATGACATCACTGGAGGTTTATAAATATGACATTCACAGTGCCTTCTAGCCTGTATGTTTCTGCCCTACAACATCCCTGGTTATGAGATTTAACCCGACTGGAGAACAATAGCATGACGCCACTGGAGGTTTATAAATATGACATTCACAGTGCCTTCTAGCCTGTATGTTTCTGCCCTACAATGTCCCGTCTTCCATCTCTGAAATTTGAAAACAAATGATTCAGAGTTGTGATTCACCTGCAAAAAGAAAGAATAGTAACTTTGTAAAATATAAGTCATGTATCGGGATACGAATCATATTGCATCCATAGTATCCGTATTGTATCGCGTCCCCTGCCTATTTAAAGGCGACTTGCCGAAGCTGCATCATCTGTATCTTACAGGGATGTGAAATCTCCGCGGAAACGCGGAAAATCGCGTTTTTTAAAACAGTAGTCCTCGGAAAAAAATCATCTTCCGCGTAAAAATTTAATAATATTTTTTAAAAAAACACTCCGAAAATATGATCGAAAACCGGACAATTGGCGCGGATTATCCTGTTTTCGATCAGAGCTTTCACCAGCATAGGTTTTCGGACATCATACGTTTTCTGTCACGAATACTTGCACTATAACGTGGGGTGTGGCGTCACACATAAATTGTAAATACTCAGAGTCAGCTGATGGCTTGTTTTTAAGATAAAGTTGTCTTTTAGCCTGTAAGTGAATGAGATGTTTTACAGTTGTTCATGTGATAAGCAAGAAAACTATGAATGTTTCCTCAGCGTCCAAAACCCCATGTCATGGGGATATATGTTGTATTAATGTCTTATGTTTGCAATGGAGTTTTGTTTTTTTCATCAAAAGGTAAGTACAAGGTAAGTTTTTTTCAATATGCTTCAACATGGGGAAAGGGTCAGACATTGCACGCTTGTGACAGTTGTCCTTGTGTCTGGGGGATGGGGGTTGAAGTTTATGGCAGTATTGCTCCCAGACCTGGCGGGTAGCCAGGTGCGCGAAAGCTATGCCCGATTTTTTAAAAGTACTGATTTAACTTCGAAATTTTATTGCATCTGCCATCTTGTTTATTTGACTTATTGACTTTTGCCATTGACTTATTACATTTCTTGGTGTGAATGTTGTCCAAACTGCACGAAATTTCTTAAAATGCAATCAAATGTTTTAAAAATTTCTGGGGGGTGAGTGTAGAGTGAGTGAGTGAGTATGGTTTAACACCGCTTTTAGCAATATTCCAACAATATCGGGGCGGGGGACACCAGAAATGGGCTTCACAAATTGTACCCATTTCGGGAATTGAACCTTGGTCTTCGGAGTGACGTGCGGACGCTGAAACCACTAGGCTACCCCACCACCCTACCACCCCTGTGTGTGTAGATCTGACAAACAGTCCATAGGACCTTGACTTGTCACTTCAGTCTTGTTCGCGATGGTCACTTCAGACTGTTCATGATGGTCACTTCTGTGTGCATGATGTCACTTCAGTCTTGTTCATGATGGTCACTTCTGTGTGCATGATGTCACTTCTGTGTGCATGATGTCACTTCAGTCTTGTTCATGATGGTCACTTCTGTGTGCATGATGTCACTTCAGTCTTGTTCATGAAGGTCACTTCAGACTGTTCATGATGGTCACTTC